TCCATATTTGGTAAAGCCATTCTCTTACCACAGCCCCTTACTATGTTCACCACTTCTCTCACCACTTCTGGATATACTGCATATAGCCGTCTTTCCAATCAAGATCCCAATGCCGCCTTAGGGTTGTTAGTGCTACCTTGCCAATCGTGGATTCACACGCACAGCCTTCTGCAGTATTACCTTCTGTGACCCATGTCATACACAGTGCCTGATCTTCTCTATAGCTCGGGACTCCTTCCAAGAATTCTTTATTGGCCAAATATGTATTTCAAATAGTCTTACCGCCACAGGGTTTTGCATTCAAAAGCCCCCAAAGATTACAGAGATAATTAATTAAATTAATTACCACCAGCTATAATTGAACCATCGACCTCGTCTATGGAGGGTTAGGCACCTAGACTACTAGGCTATAGGACCCTAACCCCATCATAAGATTTTAGTCATCAACTATTTCATTTATTGACCTTTAATTCTTTTTTTTAGTTGGTTTCCTGTGCAGATATTACTTTTAGCTATCTTTTTTACTCTGAACAATTACGATTTATGGAATTTACTTTCAACTCAAAATATTTTATAAGACATCAAGTTTCAAATTTGGATTCCTCTTCTCAAGAATTTTTAGAATCTGTTCATAAATTAGTGGATCTTCTTCAAAAAGTAATAAATTCCCCTTATAATGTAGTGAACTCCTATCAAGGATTAGCAAATTCTTTTCAAGAATTAATGGACTCCTCTCAAGAAGTATTAAGTGATGAAATGCATGATGAAATGCATGATGAAATGTGTAATAAAATGCATAATTGAACATATGATAAAGTGCATAATGAAGTGCATGATAAAATGTGTGATGAAACGCGTAATGGAATATATGATGAAGTGCATGATGAAGTGCATGATAAAATGTATGAAACCCATAAAGGACAAGATTTGGTTGGAATTAATGGCCCATTACCTCATATTAACAAAGCAATTGTATTCACTATTGATGATACCTTTCCTAACTGGTCAATTGCAGAGCATTATGTTGCTGAATATGGCTGTCAAAAAGGATTTGTACCAATTAAGATACGCAATAAAACTGATTGTAATGTACATTTAATAAACCTATATTATAAGTGTGAATTTAGTGAAACATATCAACCAAAGAAAACTAATAACTTACAAAATTAACATAATAAAGGTTCTAAAAAACTTAACTATGATTGGAAAGTTAATTTGTCATTTGCAACTAGTGTAGTTCATATCACTCATTTTAATGATAACCATGTTGAGTATCAACTTTCACCAGATACCAAAATTTTTGCTCCTGTAAATCATCAATTCTCTGATGATTGTCGTGAAGAAATTTGCTATTTAGCAGTAAACGGTCGGTATGACCTTTCGACAATACGATCTCTTCTATCTGTTAAATACCCCGATCAGCTTTTCTTGACACATGATCTTGCAAATGTTGTAGTAGAACATAATGTGGAAGGAAGTGAAGCATCACAGCTTTTAAAACAGCTTTATGAATTTAGAAAAAAGGATTCTAATTGGTATATTGAACTCTTAGTTGATTCTATTAGCAATTGTCTCCGTAGAATTTTTTGGATGAACCCGAGTCAACGTGAAAAATGGATTTGGTTTTGTGACATAATAGTTCAAGACAATATGGTACAAACAAACTATTATAATTTTCCTTTATGTTTCTTTGTTTTAATTGATAATCATAATAAAACACGAATTGCAGCACAGGCTTTAATGCCTGATAAAACCATTAAATCTTTTCATTAAGTAATGGAGCAATTAAAAAAAGCAACTAGAATTTTTCCAAGAATTTTAATGATGAATGAAGATCTTTCCATGAAATATATTGTAGCTCATGATCTTCTGGATACTAAATATTTATTTTGTTTGTATCATTTAAGTCAAAATCTTTCAAAAAATCTTCGTAGTAAGCTTGGCAGGCAGTATGCCGATTTTATTAAAGATTTTTATTCGACACGTAATAGTTTAAATGAAAGTGTATTTGAGGCTAGATTTACAAATCTTTTAAATAATTATCCAGCTGCATCTTCGTATCTACAAAAGCTATTTTTAAGTAAAGAATCGTGGGCATGTGCTCATATATTTAAAATTTTTACTGATAGAATACAATTAACTCAGAGAGTTGAAGAACTTAATAATCATATCAAAACTGCTATAAATAGTTCATCAACTTTATTGCAAGTAATGGAAGCAATACACCAACGCATTAAGTGTGAAAGTCTTAGTTAATGTTTTAATTCGTGGTCTTAAAACCAAATTAATTATAATGATAATCTCGTTTTACAGACTGTTTTTCCACAAGTCATTCAACAAATAAATAAGTATTTAACACCAAATCTAGCAACTGAGCAACAAAAGCAGATAGTTCAATTGACTATCTACCAGGCTCAAACATTAAACATAGATGATATTGGGTTTATTTTTAGGAGGTATTTTTATTGTTATTTGCTATCTTAATTAACTACTCTATTTTACAGTCATGGAATTCTGATTTATTAAATTTACAAGATGTTATCTATAATAATGATTTTATTGAAAACACATATGATGTTTTGCAATCATATTTATTGGCTTTAATTAAAGAAAATAAATATTCCTCTGTTAAAGAAGTTTGGAGAATTATATGTTTAATTTCGGCTAAGTCTGTTTATTACATTATATTGTATAAAAATAGACGTCATTTATGTACTTGCCTTTTATTGGTTAACTATGGGCTCATATATCGACATTTTTTTTGTGTGTTACTTGAATCAGATTTTGCAAGGTTCTATATAATGCTGTTGCCTATTTGTTGGTGCAAAGATGATATAACTGAATCTGAATGTGCTCAAGAGCTATTTTTAACATCAAATCGAAATACCAAATTAGCACCGATTACTCATCAATTATGTAATACAACAAATGTGAACTTACTTAGAATCAATGATGTCTAGGAAAATAGCTTTCAAAAATTTGTAGACAAGAAGCTTCAATTTAACAAATCAGTGAATCTTGCAAAGAAGGCTATTACGCTACAGAATAGCGAAAATAATAATGAATTAGATACTCTCTTGAAAAACTACATTGAAAAAAAGATTCTTCAACGTGAAAAAGAAACTAAAGAAAGAGAAATGAGAATTCTTAGAGAGAACCATAGTTCAGAAAATGTTTTAGCCATAAAAACTGATGATAATCAACTAATTTCTATTAATAATGTTGCTAATTCTTTAAATCATATTGGAAAAGAGGCTCCGAAAAAGAATCATATTAAAGGTGCACAAGAAGATTATACACCAAAAAAAAAAGCTAAACCAGGTACAAGTACGAGACTATGTTGACTTTGTCATGAACCTAATCACTATAAGAGCACATGTCTACAAAAAAAATCCAATTTAGAAAAGTAGCGATGCTGCATATGTAGGTACTATACGTACATGCATATTTTGTAAATTTCACATGTTCATGCTATATTTATATCAGTGACGCCAAAAAAAAACCTAAAAAAAAGTTCAGGTTTTCTCTTGGTTATGCTTATTTCTGGTTTGTTTTTTTTTTATGCTAGGGTATAGACAAGTTATTGGATAATGATAATGGTTTTTTTTTTAAGTTTCTCTTTTGCATTAAGGTTTTTTAAATAGCTTATACACATTACTTTACTTTTATATTAAGATTAGGATAAACGCTAATAAACTCTTTTTCATGTTATATTATAGATTATATGCATTCATATAAAGAGTTTAAGTAAATCAAATAATATAGTAGTCTTTTTTGTATTTAGAGGTTTGATGATTTCTTTTTTTTTAAAAAAAACTTTATCTTTTATATTGGTATTAATGAAGTTTTTTTATTATTTATAGCAAGGCGATGACCAGTTCTAAATTAATTTTTTTTCAACAAGTACATATCTTATACTGCGTTATGAAAATGCTAATTGAAATTTAATAAAGGTATTAATAACCTGTTTTAAGTATATCGTATTCAACTATATGATATCAATATCGATATCAACATTATCTTTGCTGTACATATGTATGTATATATATAATGCGAGTTTAGTTTATTACTACAAATGGAAGAATCATTAAAATAAAACTCGAATCTGCTTTTCAGAATTTTTTATTATGTTTCAAGAGTGGCTTAGATTAGTGTTCTAAATCAAAAATCGATTAATCGATTAACTAATTAATCCAATTGATTAATCGATTAATTGTCAACTAATTGATTTTTGTAACACTAGTATAGTTTTTGCTAATTTGTGTAACTTCGTCTAACTTATTCATATAATAAAAATCAATGGTCTTTGATTGGCTAATTTATACTATGTGTTACATGATTCACAACTTTGGTATGTAACTTTGTGTAACATTATGATTAATTGTTTATTTTTCGTATATCACGTGATTGGGTGTTATATAACATAGTGTTATATATATAATTTTTCAATATAAATATAAAATATAACTATATCCCAATATAATAATACTAGAAACCTTATTTAATTAAAAACCATTGAAGGTTTTTTATATTACAGTATGGAAATTGTTATTGAATCTTTTTAGTATTATATTTTCAGATTTGACTATTTAAAGAACTATTAATACACATCAATTAATTTAAAAAAGTTTTAATTATTATAGTATACCTTCCAAAGAGGATTCTTGTATTAGTATCATGAATTTTAATAATCATTTACTAATATTTTATCTGTTAGAAAATCAGTAATACAAAAATGCAGAACACAGTTTAAAGGAGCAGAAGTTTTAAAAAAAATTTTTAAGGACCTAAAATTTATAAGTAATACTGGGTAGAAGATAGGTCAATTTGTACTACTTCATAAATCAAGATGGAATTTATCATTACATCAAAATTTTTTTATTTTTCAAATAATAGATTTATATTAATAAAAAGTGATATATTAATGTTTTAATTTGTGTTGTAATACATAAACCATAATACAATTAAATACTTGAAAAACTATTGGTTTCTTCAACTAAAAATTTTACAATATTCAAATTAAATTATTCAATTAATTATTAATAATTATGCTAATTTACAGTTTACCTAGCCAGATCAATCTCCCACTTCAGCAAAATAAATAAACACTCTTATAATTGCCTTTTTCAACTTCATATAACATATTCCATAGGTACTCATTTTTTCTAACTCGAATTCTATTTCTATATAATATTTTTATATTATCATTTTATTGTTATTTTTTTCTCTTTAGTGGATTTTGGATAAAGAATGATGCTTTATAATTAATTTTAACTTTGTCTTATAAGTTAGCAAAATGTATATATTTTAATGAAATTATTCACTTTAGCATATTTTTAATAACCCTATGTTCAGTAATATTATTAAACTATTTTTGATCTGAGTTTACATTTACCAAAATCCAAAGGAGTTAAAGAATTGTTATTGTAAAATAAATTTGCTAAGGCTTTTTTAACTTCTAATCTGAGTTTAAATCTACTAAAACTTAAAGAAGTTAAAGAAGTGTTATTGCAAAATGAATCTGCTAAGGCTTTTTCAACTTTAGTTCTGGGGTTATACCTACTAAGACTCCAAGGAGTTAAAGAAGTGTTCTTGCAGAATATATCTGCTAAGGCTTTTTCAACTTCAGTTCTGGGGTTATACCTACTAAGACTCCAAAGAGTTAAAGAAGCATCCTTGCAAAATACATCTACTAGGGCTTTTTTAACTTCAGTTTCGGAGTTATATTTATTAAAACTCAAAGGAGTTAAAGAAGCATTCTTGCAAAATATATCTGCTAAAACTTTTTTAACTTCTGATCTAAGTTTATACTTACTAAGACTTAAAGAAGTTAAAGAAGTTTTTTTGCGGAATGTATCTGCTAAGGCTTTTTCAACTTTAGTTCTAGGTTTATACTTACTAAGACTCCAAGAAGTTAAAGAAGTATTTTTGCAGAATGTATCTGCTAAAGCTTTTTAACTTTAGTTCTAGGTTTATATTTACTAAAACTTCAAAAAGTTAAAAAAGCATTCTTGCAAAATATATCTGCTAAAGCTTTTTCAACTTCAGTTTCAGAGTTATACCTACTAAGGCTTAAAAGAGTTAAAGAAGCATTTCTGCAGAATGTATCTGCTAAAGCTTTTTTAACTTCAGTTTTGGGATTATACCTACTAAGACTCCAAAGAGTTATAGAAGCATTTTTGCAGAATACATCTGCTAAAGCTTTTTCAACTTCAGTTTCAAGATTATACTTACTAAAACTCAAAAGAGTTAAAAAAGTATTCTTGCAGAATGCATTTGCTAAAGCTTTTTTAACTTCAGTTCCGGGTTTATACCTACTAAAACTTAAAGGAGTTAAAGAAGTGTTATTGTAAAATGAATCTGCTAAGGCTTTTTAACTTCAATTTTAGATTTATGCTCACTAAGACTCCAAGAAGTGTTCTTGCAGAATGTATCTGCTAAGGCTTTTTCAACTTTAGTTCTGGGGTTATACCTACTAAGACTCAAAAGAGTTAAAGAAGTGTTATTGCAAAACAAATGCTAAGGCTTTTTTAACTTCTGATTCAAGTTTATACTTACCAAGATTTAAAGGAGTTAAAGAATTATTATTGCAAAATAAATCTGCTAAGGCTTTTTTAATTTCTGATTTGAGTTTATATTTACTAAAACTTAAAAGAGTTAAAAAAGTGTTATTGCAAAATGAATCTGCTAAGGCTTTTTCAACTTCAGTTCTGGGTTTATACTTACTAAGACTCAAAAGAGTTAAAGAAGCATTTTTGCAGAATGCATCTGCTAAGGCTTTTTCAACTTTAGTTTTGTGTTTATATCTACTAAGACTCCAAGGAGTTAAAGAAGTATTATTGCAAAATGAATCTGCTAAGGCTTTTCAACTTTAGTTCTAGATTTATGCTTACCAAGACTCCAAGAAGTTAAAGAAGCATTCTTGCAGAATACATTTGCTAAAGCTTTTTCAACTTCAGTTTTTGGTTTATATCTACTAAAACTCAAAAGAGTTAAAGAAGTGTTATTGCAAAACAAATTTGATAAAGCTTTTTTAACTTCTAATCTGAGTTTACACTCACCAAGATTTAAAGGAGTTAAAGAATTGTTATTGCAAAATAAATCTGTTAAGGCTTTTTTAACTTTTAATTCAAGTTTATACCTATTAAGACTCAAAGAAGTTAAAAAAGTATTATTGCAAAACAAATTTGCTAAAGCTTTTTCAATTTCAGTTCTGGATTTATACCTATTAAGACTCAAAGAAGTTAAAGAAACATTCTTACAAAATGCATTTGTTAAGGCTTTTTTAATTTCAGTTCTGGGTTTATACCTACTAAGACTCAAAAAAGTTAAAAAAAATATTATTGCAAAATAAATCTGCTAAGGCTTTTTCAACTTCTGATCCAAGTTTATATCTACAAGATCCCCCAAAATATTAGATCCACTATGAATTAGACTTATCTGTAAACTATAGTATCTATTAATTAAATGTAGATTTTTTTAAATAACTAAACTACCAGTTATAAGTACATGAAATAGACTCAGGTCTTGTATAAAAAGAATGTAGTAGAAATAAATTAATTAATCTGATTTTAGGATTAAAAATTTTTTACTGATGTGGCTTGTCAAACTTTGCTTTATATTAGGCATAGTGCCAAACTTTGCTTTTTTTTTTTTTTTTTATTAGTAATGCGTACTGAAGATTGGCCAGGCTTGTCAAGACCCAGTTTATGAGCCACCTGACGATTTTCATCAGACAATAGGCCAGCTTTCCCCACAGAACGCCCAACCTAGTTACCTCACTGATGTTGGCTACAATATCATCATACGTTGAGGCATAATGTAGATATCGTATAATCCAGGCCTCAGCTGCCCTATGCTAGGGTACATGTCTCACCCATGTATTCACCCAAACTTCAGTAACTTTACGCCATAGCTTGACCCATGCATTTGGGGTCAGGGCTAACTATTGAACCCCTGCAACTAACTAGTACCTGCCATAACCTAGTAATACTGATCTAGTATATATTATATATATCTTGGGTCCCTCCTCTGTGGTGTTACAGTTTCCAGATCTGTATTCAAGCCACAGCCTTTCTAATTAATTGCCTATTACCTACTTTTTGTCCTTATTAGGTTTACAACAACCCTGATACCAGGGACATGGAAGTTTTTTGAAAGCAATTTTTCGAAAGAAATTGAAAATTTTGCCCCAAATCGAAATTTATAGAAATTTTTTAAAATTTTTTTCTATATGAATTTCATCATGTGATATAAAATGATTGGTTCTTGATTGTGCCCGTCATATGATTACAATTAAAATGATCGACTTTCAAAAAATGAATATGTAACATCTTTTTAATTC